CCCAGCGCGCCCAGCCCGCTCGCCGCCGCCCCGCAGCCGCGAGCGCCCGCAGCCCCGCAGGCGCCCCGAGCGCTCAATGTCCGGGGGGGGGGGTGCGGAGGGACGAGGGGGCCCTTCTCGGCGCACGTACCCCGCGGTCATGGCGATGTTGTAGAAAGTGAGCCAGACAGTGGCCAACAAGCCGAGGCGCCTCCTCTTGCCGGTGGCCTCCTTCTCCTCGCCCGCTTCCGAGGCGCCGCCGTTGGTGCCGTCCTCCTCGCTGGACGCCATGGTGGCCGTGCACCCGAGGGAGGTGGAAGGCAGGGGAAGGGGAGTGGGAGGGGGCCCAGCCGAGCGCGCCGCTGAAGCGCCACCGCCCGCTGCCACCGCCTCTGTCAGGCGCCCCATGTGCCGCGCGCAGGGGGCTCGGCGCCGCCAGCCGGGCCGCCCGCAGGAGGAGGAGCGGGCGCCCCCCGCCGCCGCCCCGGCCACCCCGGCCGCCCCGCCCCCGGCCCTCGGGAGCGCGCGCGGCGCGGGGACCTGGCAGCCCGACCTGGGCGCTGGGGCTCGGGATCCCGCGAGCCCCCCGGGTACGGTTTCGAGGCGGCTGAGTGGTTTCCGCTCCCACAGAAAGTTACCCGCGTCTCTAGCTGGGGGAACCTCCTCTTAGACGCCCCAGACGTCTCGGGCTCTGGTGACTTGCCCCCTCGCTAGTGCAAAGTCGGGGCGGACGGAACACACCTGGACTTGGCATGACCCTGCCCCACCCAGCCTTTGGGAAGGTATTTTCTGGAAGTGAGGACAGGTAGTGGGATCTTCTCGCTAAGTACGCATTAAGACCTTCTGGAGAAGGAAGAATCGCCCACTTCAGTCTGTTTCATTTTTACGGGCCAGTGGGGCGTGTACAGGGGAATACAGTCGAATTGCCTCACTTGTGTGGATTCCCCTGGAGCCAGTGTTCTAAAGGCATTGACTTCAATGCAGAGTAGTGTTGGATGTTAGAGGGAAGCTGGAGGAAAGAGGACATGAAAAGATACCAAAGGAGAAAAGTTTGAGCAGATGCAGGCAAGCTACAGATATTGGGCTGACAAGAACCCTTTCCCGCAGGCAAGTATCCCACTGTCCTCTACTCTATCCCTTTCCTTTTGTATCTTCCTTCAAATACCTGTGCTTTCTCCCAATAGCTCTCTGCTCTTTCCCCTTAAAGCACACAGGTGGGAAGACAGGCTCCGGAGTCAGATTACTGAAATTCAAACCCCAAATTCCTGGCTCCATCAGTCTTACTAGCTTGTGAACTTGGGCATCTAAACTTTTCTATGCCTCAGTTTCTTCAGTGGGAACAATTTATAAACCTGTCATGGGTTGTTGTGAGTGCAAGTCTCACACTTATAAATCACCCACATAAATCCCTTAAAGGTCTGAAGCAGTTTGAGTCCCCCCCCCCCCAGATTAGCGTATTAGCACCATTCTGGTGACTCAGACCTCCGTTGATACAGCGAAAGAAATTCTGCTTAGGCCTGTGGAAGCTATCTGCTTGTGCTGCTGGAAACTAAGCCTGGCCCTGGGCAGGTGATGACCACCAAAAGACCACATAGCTACGAGTCCAGTAGCTCCTCAGGTTATGGAGTCACTTGGGAGAGGTCACCAAACGAGAGAAAGGAGGTCTTAACCCTTTATTGTGATCTGGGCTCTGGGCTCCTGATCCAGGGGGCACTACCAACCTGCTTGGGAAACTTAGATAATTTTGAGGAAGACATTCCAATGGGGTGTGGTGGGGGGGGAGGCTGAGATGTGCCTGGGAAGAAATAATGGCTGAAAATGTTTAAATTTGATGTAAACTATGAACGACTGTTTTTTAAGACGTTTAATTGGAATGGAAGAAATAGAACTACTTGCAAATGACAACATTGTATAATTAGAAAAGCCTAAGGAATCCATTAAAAAGCTACTGGAACTAGTTGCAGGCTACAAGGTCAGTGTAACAAAAATTGTTTTCTACAGAAAAGAAACTGGAAATTGCAATTTAAAATAAAACCATATAATGCTCATCAGCAACCAAAACCATGAAATATATAAGGATAAATTTAACAAAAAGTGTAAGACCTGTATACTGAAAGCTATAAATCACTGCCAAGAGAAATTAAGGACTTAAATAAATGGCTATCCATTGGAAGCCATTGGAATTGGAAGATGAATTGGAAGCCATTGGAATTGGAAGATGAATTAGAAGATGATATGGTTAAAATGTCAGTTCTCCCCAAATGCCAGCAGAATATATAGTTTTAATTTGACATGATATCTCTAAAATTTATACAGAAATGCTTAAGAACAAAGTTGAGGCACATACATACTTGTTTTCAAGATAGTATACAACTACAGTTTACAAGACAGTGTGGTAAGCATAAGGATAGACAAATCAATGACACAGAATAGAGTCCAGGCCCATACATATGGTCAGCTGATTTTCAACAAAGATGCCTAGGTATGTCTTTTCAACAAATAGTGCTGAAATAACTGGATATCCACATGAAAAAATAAACCTTGACCCTTACCTCATACCATACACCAAGTATTAATTTGATATGGATCATAGACTAAACATAAAAGCTAAAACTATAAAACTTATCGAAGAAAACAGAATCACTGTGACCTTGGAGAAGGCAAAGAATTCTTAGATCCAAAAACAAAAAAAGCATTAGTCATAAAGGAAAAGACAGAACTTCACCGAAACATAAAACTTCTGTAGTTTCAAAGACAACATTTAAAAGGTAATTTTCTCTATACGTGGGTCTGGCAAGGAACATGTATCCAGAATATATAAAGAATCTTTACAACTCAATGATACAACAACCTGATTTTTTTTTTAAATGAGCAAAAGATTTGAATAGACTCATTGCGAAGAAGATATATAAGTAACAATGGCACATGCAAAGACACCCAATCTTATTAGTCTTTAGGGAAATGCAAATCAAACCCACTGAGATATCACTACATCTAGTGATATCAACATTTAAAGTATAGCAAGATGTGGGGCAATTGGCATTCTCATATATGGCTAAAGAGAATAACACTTTGGAAAACAGTTTTGTAATTTCTTTAAAAGATCAACATTTGCTTGCTTACCATATGACTCAACAATTTCATTGCTAGTTATTTAACCAAGAGAACAAAAACAGGTCCACACAGATTTGGACACAAACATTCATGGCAGCTTTATTCATAGTAACTTCTAACTGAAAATAATCCATGTGTCCATCAACATGCGGAGTAAAATAAATTTGAAAAGTGGATCACAAAATGCTATGGGAGTTAAAGAGCTGTCAAAAAATGTAACTTGTTTGGGAGATCAGAAAAGGCTTTGTGCAAGAAATCACCATTGAATACTTGATTCCAACAGACAGATTGCAAGAGGCAGGCTGAGGGCTCACCATGAACATGGAGGCAGGACAAACCAACAAGCTTGAGGAAAAGTGAATTGTGCAGTTTGACTAAATCTTAAAATGACCAGGAGAAGGATAGAATAGAAATGTCGAGAACCACTCTATTGTAAAATGCAACAGTGAACTTCTGAAGACTTGGTGGAGGAAAATCAAGTTAAAGAAACCTCTTTTCAAAGATGAATTAGGCAGCAGGAAACAACATCAATTGTGTTATAGGAGAGAAGTAAGAAAGCCAGAATTAGGTTGATGCTCAGCATGAACAAGGGAATGAATGAGATCTTTTGAGACATAACAGAATCAAAGAAAGTGTTCTGTTATTTGCTGAAGTATAGGTGCCATAAAATAGGGAGAGATTGATTGTCTATGTGAAATAGGTTATTTACGAAGCAAAATCCCTCTGACTGCGGGAAGGTAAGAGATTAAGAAGACAGATGGAGGAATTAGTTTTCAACAAGAGAAAAGACACTTCTTTCTCAGATAAGAATGAAGGAAATGGAGGTAGAGATATTTGGAGGTAGGGAACTTAATTCAAAGTGAGGTGTCCTGACAGCAAAGGAAGTTTGGAATAGCATTTTACATATAACCTTGTTTGATTTCTTGAAATATCTTTTATTTTATCAATCCATGGAGAGTAGTCCTTGCATTTAGGATAAAAACTGATTACTTAGCCTGAATTCAGAATTTTCTACTATAACCTGAGCCCAAGGGAGCTGATCAAACATCATCTCTTAATAGTATCTGTCACCAAAATACTGTGATCCAACCAAGCAGGTCTGTTCATTGTCCATAAACTGATCTGGATAACCTTTAATCCAAATCCAGCATTCTTTTCATCCTACCAAACTGCTATTTTCCATTCTTTCTTGTTTGTATAAATCTCATTCACTCCAAGGTTGCATTTAATACCAGTTCTTTCAAGGGGCTTGCCCTGCCACTTCAACTTATAGTGGACCCTTATTGTTCCCCAGATAAAATAGTTTGTACTATTAATGTGTCATTCATTTTAGCGGTTAATTATACATTGTCTTCTTTTTTTTTTTTTTTTTTAAGATTTTATTTATTTGACAGAGACACAGCGAGAGAGGGAAAACAAGCAGGGGGAGTGGGAGAGGGAGAAGCAGGCTTCCCGCGGAGCAGGGAGTCCGATGCAGGGCTCGATCTCATGACCCTGGGATCATGACCTGAGCCAAAGGCAGACGCCCAACGACTGAGCCACCCAGGTTCCCCTATACATTGTCTTCTTTTTTCACTTATGCTTGTATATGTTTTGTCTTGGGGAAGAACTACATATCAAAGATCATTAACTATATTTTATTTTATTTTAAGATTTTATGTATTTATTGGACAGAGAGAGAGATAGCAAGAGCAGGAACACAAGCAGGGGGAGTGGGAGAGGGAGAAGCAGGCTTCCCTCTGAGCAGGGAGCCCGATGTGGGGCTTGATCCCAGGACCCCAGGATCATGACCTGAGCTGAAAGCAGACGCTTAACAACTGAGCCACCCAGGCGCCCCTCATTAACTATATTTTAAAAAATCCTTCTCAAAGGCCAATTAATGTTTTGCAATTTTTAGTAGCTTTATTGAGGTATAACTGACATACAGTATAGTGCATGTATGTAAAGTGTACAACTTAATAGGCTTTGACATATGTATCATCTGTGAAACCTTCATCACAATCAAGACAGTGAACATATTTCATCATCTCAAAAAGTTTCCCTGTGCTCCTTTTTTAATGCCCTCCTTCTCTACGTCACGTTGTTACCAGGTAACCATTGAGCAGCTTTCCTTCACTACAGATTAGTTTGCAATTTCACTGATTTTCTGTAAATGAAATCATACATTATATGCTCTTTTCTGACTGGCTTATTTCACTCAGGATAATTATTTTGAGCAGGTCCAGCTTCATGTCTATGTAGCTTCTAGAGTCCCACAGGATCCTGGGCTCAAAAGGGCCTGCCACTTGATTTAATGCTGTTTTAATTTGATGCTCTTCTGTCTGTTTTGAAATTTTTAATAATTTATGAATAAGGGGGCCCATA